TACCTAATACGAGGATCCTTCTTTGCAAAAGCGCCGAATTCGTGTAACTATGTTGATGATACAAGATATACTGATCAAAGCAATGATTTCTAGCTTTTGCGAGAGAATGTATTTGAGTTATTTTCGTTTTCAATCAAACGCGTGGCAAGATGAGGGTGTGATATTTTTTCTCTCACAAGTCTCACAATGAAGAAGCTGCGAGTTTTACAAAAATTTACAAAAAAAAACAGGTCCTGCTTAAAAGTAAGTCTCTCTCATTAAAAACTACCAGAGTTTTACAGCGGATTTTAACAATCTTTGTTAAAAGTAAGGAGCTGTCAACAGCTTCTCCAAATTTTCGCAGAGAGCAGGCGCTGGCGCACAGCACAGGCAGCCCAAGCTCCAATCATCTTGCGCAATAACAGTCATGGCGGAATTATAAGAGTTTGTATGGGCATATTTACGACCGCCCTCAGGAATAAAAAAAAATACGTCAAATTCTCAAAAAAAATACCTCACCTTACTTCTACAGCGTAACGCTTGTTATCTGACCGCTTACTTTGATGAAAAGGACGCATTTTAGCGAGTTGTCCATTTCGACGTTTTCAACGTTCAGAAGAAAAGCCCAAGGCGCTAAGGGCTTTTCTTATGTACGTTGAAAACCTCGAAATGAACAACTCGCTAAAATAAAAAAAAAAAAATAAAATCGTTAAACAAAGCCTGCTCAACTTTCAGCTGATCCGCTTTTCTTGATACGTGGGGGACATAATGTCATCGAATGCGAAGACTGCCGCGAAACCATCACATGGTGTAGTCGCTGTGTTGAAGAGTCTTCAAATCGTCTTGCCGTAAAGCACGGCCAATTCAGTGAGTTTCTCCTTTTTTTCCCGTCGATATTGCATTTATTCGTTGTCGTTCATGGAAGCGTTAATTTAAGTAGCGACGAGACTGGATTCTACCACATTTTTCAATCAAACATGTAGTTTTCCAAAGCAGCTTTTTCTCCGAGTTGGTTTTATCGTCCAGCACACCAATTAAAGCATTCCGATATCACTTTGATTGGCAGATGTCAAAACCGATCAAGGATATCAGTTTTCTTACCATGGCGTCCAGGGCACGCACAAAATTCAGCTTCTCACGTACTCCTGCAATGTTCAAAGAGCCGTTGAAGTTGAACTCTCATTGAA